CTTCCCCAACTGGTTGAACAAACAAAAATGTCAACAGCACTTACAATCACTTCCCCAATCCTTGAGTTTTAAAGAAATCCCATTTCTCGTTTCAGTCCACAATCAACAATTTAGAAAAAATAAGAAGGTACTGTTTTTACAGCAGTATACAGTGAGCAGGAAAGCTATAACTGCAGGAGGTTAACAATGGACTGGTCAGCTGGCTAAAGCAGTGGCAAATGGAATTCAACCCAGAGAAATGTGAGGTAATGCATTTGGGCAGAGCTAACAAAGCAAGGTACGAATAGCGGGACCTTGGAAAGTGTTGATGATCAGAGGGACCTTGGCATAAAATCCACAGATCCCTGAAGATAACAAGGCAATTAGATAAGGTGGTTAAGAGGGACATTGGATATTTGCCTTTGAGCTGAGGAGCAGAGGGCTGTGCTGGAAGTCTATGAAAAACATGGATTTAGGACACAACTGAAGAAATATTAAGAAGTTCTGATCACTACATTTTAGGAAGGATGTGATTACACTAGAAACCGTGCAGAGGGAATCAAACAGGTTGCTGCCTGGGCTGGAAGGTTTGATACATGAGGAAGGATTAGATAGGCAGGGCTGCGTTTGTTTTTCTTGGAGCAATAAACATTGAGAGGGAGGCAGATAAAGTTTATAAGATAATAGGGACTGAGATTGGGTGGATAGGAAGACACATTCTCTACTCATAAAGGGATCAATAAACAAGTTGCATGGATTTATGCTAAGAGGTAGAAGGCTATGAGAGGAGTTGAGATAATGTTCACCCAAAGGATGGCGTGAGTCTGGAACCAACTGCCTCAAAGAGTGGTTGAGCCAAAAATATTTGTAACATTTAAGCAGTATTCATATATTGACTTGAGATGCCATAGTCTCTGGCCTATGTGCCAAGAGGTGGAAACTGGGATTACTGGAACCAGATCTTTGTTGTCTGGAATAGATAAGAGAGGCCAAATAGTTTCTTTCTGTGTTGTGAACCTGTATCTATGAGCCTTTGGCAGCCCTTGGTGGCTGAAACTTCCTTGTGATGGATTTGAATACTGACAGAAAGCCCATTGACAACCAATCAGCAATCTGATTTTAAGAAGGTGTGGTTGGCTTTCTTATTGTGACAGGTCACAGGATTCCACCGCTCTCCCGCTTACTGGAATATACCATTCTAGGTGTTAATGTTCACCACTATTCTAAAATTAAGGATTAATTTGAGATTAGCTTCTAATTAATAATAAAGAGCGCATTGAATATAATTACAAGTAAGATTCTTATGAAACTGCAGCTATGGAAGATTGGCATTTCTTCAGTTAAGAAAGAAAACTATTGATAATTATTAAGTTCTAGAATGTTAGTTGGTGAAAGGTATGGGAGAAACTAATTTTACACCCTTGCAAATGCATTTATTTATACAGTCATAGACTACAAGCAAGCAGCAGCTACACTAACAATCACTATTTAAGTCAGTATCTATTTGTGGGGACACAAGTGAATCCACAATTCATGCTCACTGCCTGCATGCAATTAAACACTTAATATAAAATTAATAAGTCGGAGATACAAATGTGATACAAACAAAACAAGACACGTAGATCAACATTAAATTTGACATTTCTTCACTATTTAAACTAAAACCACAGTAGTTTGTGTACCTTCAAGCTGTGCAATTGCTTTTGCACATTTCTATGTTGTGAAAGTGTTCTAAAAGAATGGATTATAAACCATAGAAATGGTAATTGAAATAGCTCTTTGTATTGGTGTTAGCTGTGACTTAGTGGGTAGTAATCTTGTTTTGGAAGGTCATGGGTTGTAGTCCCTTTCCAGAGACTTGAGGACATCAGTCAGATTGAAATGGAGGTACAGTACTGAGGAAGTTGCTGCACTAACAAAGATGCTATCATTGATATATATTCCTACAGCGTAGAAGAAATTAATTTGTTCCATGCCTGTGCCAGCCCTTGAAAGATTTGTCCAATTTAGTTGGAGACTGGAACTAATTGCATAGCTCTCTTTAAAGTCAGCTCAAATACCAGACTCAATGTTAAATCTGTTTCTCTCTCAATAGATGTTGCCAGACTTGCTGAATTTCTCCAGCCTTCTGCAAAAGTGGTCCTTTCAAATTTCCAGCACCCACCGTATTTTGTCATTATTTGGGATTCTCCAGCATTTTCTGTGTTTGCTACAGATATAGAGTGGGCTTCTTCTATGAGATATCATTCTAGGATACACATATATTGTTGCCAACACATAACCGTCTGTGAAAAGTTTCCCTCATGATGAATTTTTAAAAATTGAGAAATACTCTTTCTAACTTAGATTTGTTACATGATTGGTGGAAACCCTCCGGAAACATTGTAAGCAACCAAAGTAAAACAAAGCGCTGCAGATGTTGGAAATCTGAAACAAAAGCAGAAATGGCTGGAGAAACTCAGCTGGCAGCATCTGTGGAAAGAAAACAGAGTTAAGCTTCAAGTCCAGTGACCCTTCTTCAGAATTACTTCAGAACTTCTGAATTACGGTCACTGGACTTGAAATGATAACTCTGTTTCTCTCTCAAAAGATGCTGCCAGACCTATGGAGTTCTTCCAACAATTTCTATTTTTGTTAGACAACCAACGTAATAGTTTCAGTGGGTTTGCAATTATCTTCCATCAAAGTTATAGTCAGATAATCTGCAGAAATTTCAGTCATAATTATGAAATAATTCACTAAAATATGGGTCTTTTTGTTTGTGAAACTGAATACTATGCTTTACCATAAACAATTTGACATTATTGCACTGAAGATAATTTCTGATCATACTGATGAAATTAAACTTTATGTTTACCAAATGCTACCTTTCTGATGTGATCAATAATCAGTTACACTGTAGCCATTAATTTCTCTGAAGTACTACCTGATAGTGGCACCATTAATAATACAAGCCTCACAGATAAATCTTGGCCAGACTGCGAAAAAACTCCACGTGTACTGCTGACCAGATAACTTCTAAATGCCCAAAGTGCTGAACAAGACAAAATTGATTTATACTTGTACATACTTCAAATACTATTTTAACCCTTCAGTATTGGGAAGTACAGGAAATTCCTACTTTAATATGTTGACCTCTTGGAGAGGATTTTGAGACAAGAGCTGAAATTGTGGGGCTTTTAATGGGTTGAGAACCCTTGGAATCCACAGTAAGCTTTGTTGGCTCAAACACATTTGATGGCATCCTGTTTCTGGATTTTTTTGCCTATTCAGAGAGAGTGGCAGGATGACAGGTTAAATCTGTCAAAAGAAGGATAACTAATCATTTCGACTTCGAGACTGTGTGCGTCAAGAGCATGTGGGAGCACAGAAGGTTAGGAAAGGTGAGTGGTATTACACTTTCAGGTGCCAAGTTCCATACTCTGACTTTCTTGCGTTTTCCTGCACAGCTCTCCTGTGGACTCATTCATCTCTCCCACATCTAGACAATCAAAACTTACTCCCATTGTATTGTTCTCTCTCACACATCCTTCACAGATACACTGCACAAACATTTGAGTGGGCAGGGGTGAGTCCAGTAACAAACACTTGACAACTTTAGTAAATGTGTGCCCACCTTCCACAGGGAGGAGGGCTCAGTTCCAGGAGTTTCCAGATATCAGCAACAAATTGCTGTGAGAGTCTGAACTTTGTGAGGCACTGTTGCTGATACAAGTCAGGAAAGCTGATCGTCTGCCTGCAGACCCTGTGTTGGGTGTCTCACCTCCTTGGAACTGGATATCAATGACCATCTTCTGTGACCTGTTGGGCAGTCTGTGACTGAGGGGAAAGCAGCTGGTGTTCTGCTTCGCTTGGTGCCCCTGATGTTACTGTCCCTCTTGTTCCTATCAAAGGTGCAAAATGGAGCTGTATAAACTGCTCCATGCTGTAATGAAGGCAGGTACGAGGGAACTGTAGCTCACGATAAATAAAATGCAGGACCAATGAACTGACTCACAAGAATTTGGTAACCCTGTGTTAAGTAATGAAGCCGTGCTCTCAGAAGAGACGCGAACAACAGTCTATTTACTTGATGTGGCAGGAACTTTTCACTTTCACTGTTTAAGCTTCCCAGCCTTCAAGATTCACAAGAAGCTCATCAAGACATCTAATTGCTTGGTTGATCCTGGTGAGACACGGATAGCTCAGGAATAGCTTTGCTGCACGTTGAAGCCAGAATGGTTCATTAAAGCAGCAATCAATTATCCAGCTGCATGTTACAATCACTTATTTAGCATTTCTACAGGGCTTGAGTCCCCCACTCACCTGCAAACCCGCTCCAATGGAAATTGGATGTGCATGTGATAATCTTGATCCCACGTCACTTTTAGGGGATTGAACTCAATGACTAGATCGAAGCCCACTTTGCCTTGATGGTTAAGGTCCTGTCCATTATGATTGGTTTGCGCTCAGCTCCAGTTGCGTTATAAAAGCCCCACTATAACAGTAGCATTTTGATAGCTACGAAGACTGGAATAAATTCAGAATCCCGCAAAGGAGGACCAAAAGAAAGTAAAGAGAGAGAGAAAATAAACTACAAGAGCAAAATAATGAGGAATATCAAAACTGGCAATAACTGACAAATATGTAAAAATGAAGGGAAATGTCAAAGTGAACATAGACTCCTTAGAAAATGAATCTAGGCAGACAATTATGGGAACAAGAAAATAGCAGAGGAGTCAAACAGATGTTATGCGTCAGTTTTTAAGATAGAAAATATTTTGGGCATTCCATTAATAGTAAAGAATAAGTGGAGGAATTAAGTACCATCACCATAATTTGAAAAGCTGTGTTAGACAAACTAATGGTGGTAAAGGCAGATAAGTCCCCTGGCCCTGATGGCTTGCATCCTAGGATCATAAAGGTGGTAGCTATAGAAATAGAGGATACATGGGTTCTGATTTTCCAAAAAAGTCTCGGATTCTGGAGAAGTATCAGAGAATTGATAAACAACTAATGTGACACTGCTATTCAAAAAGAGAGAACCTTCAGCAGCACATACACTAAAACTGGAACGATACAAAGAAGGTTAGCAAGGCCCCTGCGCTAGGATGATTCACAAATTCGTGAAATGTTCAAAACGTGGGTAACTGAAGGCAGATTAGCCTAGAAAGTTAGCAAATGGAGTATAACATGGGAAAATGTGAAGTTGTTCATTTTGGAAGGGAGAACAGAAGAACAGAGTCATACTTAAATATATAAAAACTGCAAAAAGCTGCAACACAAAAGAACTTGGGGGTAACTTGTGCATTGAACACAGAAAGCTAGTACCCGGTGTAGCAGATAATCAGGAAGGCTAATGGAATGTTGGCCCTTATTTCAAGGGGGTCAGAGTATCAGAGTAGGGAAGTCTTACTGCAACTGTACAAGGTGCCGTTGAGTACCGTGAGCAGTTCTGGTACCCTTATTTAAGAAAATATATAATTTTATTGGAAGCAGTTCAGAGAAGGTTCACTAGAATGATCCTTTATGTAGAGGGATTGTATTATGAGCAAAGATTAAGCAGATTGGGTCTCTACTCATTGGAGTTTAGAAGAATGAGAAGTGACCTCATTGAAATATACAGGATTCAAAAGGGGCTTGACAGGGTAAATGCTGAAAGGATGCTTCCCTTCATAGGAAAGTCCAGGACCAGACAGCATAGACTCAGAATTAAGGAGTGCCAATTTAAGACTGAGACGAGAAGGAATTTCCTCTCTCAGAGAGCGTGCGTCTTTGGAACTCCTTGCCACAGAGAGCTGTGGAGGCAGAGTCCTGGTGTATATGGTGTGATAGATAGGTTCTTGATTAGTCGGGCAATCAAGGGTTATGGGGAAAAGCAGGAAAGTGGAAGTGTGGAGTGTCGGATCAGCCAGATCCTATTTAATAGCGGAGTTGAATTGAGGGGCCGAATGACCTACTGCAATACTATTTCTTTTGGTCTAATAAGTAATGATATTATCGTTATTCAAAATATAAAGTTATTCAAAAATCAGCAATAAACATACTACTGTAGTTGTACCTGTAAATTGCTGAAATAAACAATGAATGAAGTTTTTGTTTTGTTTTCAGGTACATTCAAAAAGCCAAGGTTACACGATGGGTGATGTATCACCTGACAGGACAGTCAAACCTTGACAAGGAACTGCTCTTCAACATTCACAATTTTACGAAGAACAAAATTGTTAGTGGTACCATTTATGTAACTTGCTGCTCAATACTTTGTTTAAGTATAGATTACATAAAGTACAGGTTGAAACTTGCTAGAATTTCAACTCTTTTTGCTGAGTGTAAAACAGACCTAACAAAAGTTACAATCAAAGTAAAATATCTCACTTCTTTGACTGCTATAAGGCAATTTTAAGGTTGCAGTTTCTCAGAAGTTTGACTCAGTCAAGTCTCTCAGTTTTTTGTCCTATATTATCGTCTAGGATGCCAATATAATTTTAAAGGCAACCTCACTTGCCCACATGTTACAGTAAATCTTGTGGATACCAAGATGATGCCCTGTAAATTAAAAGCTTATTTTTATGGTGTCCTCCAAGTCTCTCAAGGACTATCTGGCCCACTGTCAGCCTGGGCTCTCTCCTCAGCCCAGACTGGTTGAAGACTGAAATCTGCACTACTGAGAACCTCTAGAGGAGGCTGAGATGGATCATCCAGTTGGCACTTTTGGCTGAAGATGGTTGTCATTTTCTTAGCAATGTCCTTTTGCACTAATGCACTTGACTTCCCAATCATTAAGAATTGAGGTATTTGTGGACCTTCCTCCTCCAGTTAATTGAGTTTAAATTTTTCATTTCCTTTGATGGCTGGATGTGACAGGACAGCAGAATTTAGATCAGGTCTGTTGGTTGTAGGATCACTTAGCCCTGTCTATTATATGTTACTTCAGCTGTTTGGACGTGAGTAGTCTTATGTTATAGCTTCACCAGATTGATACCTCATTTTGTATTATGCTACTGTCTGCCTTCTTGCATTCTTCATTGAACTGCACTCGATTCCCCTGGTTTGATGACAGTGGTGGAATAGGGGATATACCGGGTTATAGATTGTGCTTGAGCACAATTCTCTTGCTACTGATTGCCTTGTGGATGTCCAGACTTTAGTTGCTAGACCTGTTCAAAATCTAACCCATATCCACACAACATGGTGGAGGATATCCTCAATGTGAAGGCATTGTTTATAGGGTCAACAGTGCTGAGTTTGCCTTTGCTGTTTGCAACGCCTAGGTCAATGCTAGGTGCTGCAATCAGTTTCATTCCTTTTCTTAGACTGCACAGTGACTTTATGCAATTAACGGGCTAGTTTGACCATTTCAGAGGCACTTAAGAATCAACCACATTGCTGTGGATCTGGAGGCACGTGTAGGCCAGACCAGGTGAGGACAGCATATTTCCTTCCCTAAATAATATTTGTAAACAGATAGGTTTTTTACAACAATGGACAATGGCTTCATAGTCCCCATTAGACTAAGTTTTAATTCCAGATTTATTAATTGGATTCAAATTTCATCATCAGCTGTGCTGGGATTTGAACTCATGTGCCCAGACCATTAGCTTGGGCCTCTGGGGTACTAATCCATTACTAGTAACATCACCACTTGATGCTAAAATAAACTAATGCATCATAAAATCTGCAGCTGTTAAGTTCATGCTGAGTGAGAGGGTTTGGAGCAACAGCAACTTGATGGAGACAGCAAACTATGAGCCTAGCAATCCTATGTCCTCAGTGCACCATCTTCTGTGGTGAAAACTGAACAACATAGGCTATTGAGGAGATTATGTAGAACAGCTTTCACCTTTGCTGACTTGGACATATCCTCAACATCCCATTGGAGATAAATTCCAGACAGCATGAACTCAAATCACATTGTAGCTTTCTGCAAATTTAAATTCGGCTAACTTTTATACACTCATGGGATGTGGACATCGCTGACTGGGTCAGTTGTAAAACATCTGGAAAGCTGTTTGCTTTTTTTAATTCATTGATGGTACATGAGCGTCACTGGCTGGCCAGCATTTATTACCCATCCTCAGTTGCCCTTGAGAAGGTGATGGTGAGCTGCCTTTTTGAACCTTTGCATAGTCCATGTGCTGTGGGTTGACTGTTATTAGGGAGGGAATTCCAGGATTTTAACCCAGCGACAGCGAAGGAACGATGATATATTTCCAAATCAGGATGGTGAGTGTCTCGGAACGGAACTTGAAGTGGTAGTGTTCCCATGTAACTGCTGCCCTTGTCCTTCTAGATAGAAATGGTAATGGGTTTGGAAGGTGCTCTCTAAAGATCTTTGGCAAATTTCTGCAGTGCATCTTGTTCATAGTATACACTGCTGCTACTGAGTGTTGGTGGTGGAGAGAGTGGATGTTTGTGGATGTGGTGCCAATCAAGCGACCTGCTTTGTCCTGGATGGTATCATGCTTTTTGAGTGTTGTTGGAGCTGTACCCATCCAGGGAAGTTGTCGTAAAATCCTAACCGTGTCACTAATATGCTTAAGGAAAACTTACATTATTACTCAGTTTGATCAATACGCCAATCTCACGCCAATGTGATTGACTTTTCCTTGACCCAGAAACTCATTCTGTTGTATTAAAACTGCTGCAGAGGTATAAGGAGCACTAGCATCACCTTCTGAGGGCAACAAAGGAAGGGCAATAATTGCTACCCTTGCCAGCAAAACCCATATGCCAGAAAAGAATATTACAAAATTGAAGCCTGGCAAATTAAAATGGATTGTTTGTTATTTTGCAACTTCAGTGGCAAGTCCACGGTTCATTTTCTAAAATAATTTGAAACTTCACCTCTCACGTATCAAGTCTAATCACAGGGGCACAAAATGTATAAACTTAATCAGGCCATCTCATTACTTGAAGACTAGGGGAGCAATTTTACTCTCCCTGGAGGTAGCAAGGGATTTGGCAATTGGAGAAATAATTGGATTTGTTGGCCCTGGCGAGACTCTCGACCCCTTCTTGCCATATCATTGATTAAATTCTGGGCAATCATCTTGACCTGCCACCAACTAAGGTTTTTAAGTGGTCAATTAGTAGCCACAAAGGACCTCAACTCATCACCTCCCTAATTACATGTCTCTCTGATGAACAAGAAAGGTAGCTAACTGGCTATTAGGAAACCAGGGCAACCTGGCTGATGAGCTGAGAGGAATTGAAGGCACAGATGGGGTCAGGGGCATAACCTTTAAAAGCCAACAGTTGCTCTTGCCTCCAAAGCCCCTCTCCCTGCAATACCCAGCTGCTGAGAGAAGTATGAAACTTCTTGCTGCTGGATCCCTTGAGGTGTAGACCTTGACCAGGTGTTCTTAGGATCCAGGGGTTGCCAGCCTCAAGTCTTGATTGGCCAGCAGCTTGTGGTGACCTTGTATGCCAGTTTTGAGGTCTGACATAGGTCAAGAAGATAGGTACTTTTGATCAATCTGTTCAAACAGACACATCTGGGGCATGTGGGACTTGAACCTGATGCTCTGGCCCAGATGTATGGACATTACTACTGTGCCACAAGAGCCTTTAGGTTGAGAGGCTTGCTTATGGTCTACCTGTCATCTCTTAATGAGCTGATTGGTGTGGGCAGTGGGGATGATATGTTAATCTCACCCAACACATTTTAAGCAAAAAGGGAAAATTGTGACTTAAAAATTTTAACCAGGTCCCATTTGTTCCATGAAGATACTGCTTTAATGTGCTAACACTGATGCTTGCACATTTTGAAATGAATCTTGTTTTCTAGATGCTTTAAGAACACACTGGATCATCTCTTATCCCTGTAGACATTGGATGTTTACAGATGCACTCCTTTGAGGCTGCTTTGCTTTTTTTTTACTTTTCTTAGTCTGCATCATCCTGAGTTCATCCTTATCCTCCCTCTCTTCAGGACTGCATTGGTGAGATGACATCTGGATTACTGTACAGACATGGGACAAGTGCAGCAAATTGGGTTTACTGTACTTATTGTGGTATTTATGTCAGTGCAGACTCAATGGGCCAAAAGATCTTTTCTGTGGTGTATGAATCTGTGAACCTATACAATTTTGTCACCCTGACTTGAGGAGAGATGTAATTGTATTGAAGGCAGTTCAGGGAAAGTTC